GCACGCGCGGCCCACCGCTGCCCCGCGCAGCCCGCCCAGAGCCCGCGCGGCGCGTCCGCGGCCCGCAGCGCACTGCGCGCCGTCTGCGCAGCCCGCGCCACGCTCTGCCCACCAGTGCGCGGCCCTAGGCAGCGGCGCGCGCCACCCTATCGCCGCCATGGCCTCGCCCTGCCGCCAACACGGCCCCGCCATGTTGCTGATACGACCCGGCCCCGCCCTGCCGCCGACACGGCCCCGCCCTGCCGCTGACTCGACCCGGCCCTACAGCAAGTGCCGCGGCCCTGACCTGCCGCTGTCGTGGCCCCAGCCCTGCAGCTGACGCGGCCCTTCACTGTAGCCACTGTTGCAGCCCCGCCGTCGCCGCCGTCGTGCGCCGACCGTGCCGCCGTCCGCCGAGCACCGGCCCTGCTCGCCCGGTGAGCGCCAGCTCTTCCCGCCACAGGTGAGCACCTGCCTTGTTAGCGCGCTGCCGCGCCACCTGCCAGCCTGCCTACCTGTCGCGCCTGCCCTGCATGCGCTGCTACAGCAAGTGCCGGTGGCCAGATGCAGCTCCAGCAACGTCCGCGTGAGTCCCTCACGCCCCAGCAGCTTAGTGAGTGGTACGCTAGTTGGGGTTGTAGGGGTGGCCGCGCTGCTACTACTGCTACTGCTGCTACGGCTGTTACTGCTGCTACTGCTGCTACTACTGCTACTACTACTACTGGCGGTGGCCAGATGCAGCCCCAGCGACGTCCGCGTGAGTCTTGCACGCCCTAGCAGCGTCGTGAGTGGTACGCTCAGAGTAGAGGGTCTCTCAGTACCGTTCGCTGCCCTTACGTCATTCGCACTGGTGCTCGGACTGGTCAGACTTGCGGGACGCTCAGTCACACACACTCCCGCTGCTTCGCCCGTCTGAGCGACGCTTGGCGTACCGAGTTTGGCGACGAGGCTGAGCTCCCAGACTGGGTGGAGCTGCTTGGGCAGAGGGTAGATATATTTGCTCTTGACTATGATGCTATTTTCACAGCCATGTATGCATTGCCTACTAGTGCTGACCGTGCCTATTACCTGTGCGTACCGCCTGACCCAGGTATAGAGCCTGCTGCTCTAGGTGCTGGTGAGGCTGCTGCTCTAGGTGCTAGTGCATCTCCTGCTCTAGGTGCTAATGAGGCTGCTGCTCCAGGTGCTGGTGAGTCTGCTCTCTCTAGTACTTCGCCTGCTGCGACCTTGGACACCTTCACCCTTGACTCAGGAGCTTCCCGCTCCTTCTTTCGCGACTGCACCACACTCACGCCGCTTAGTCGACCAGTTGCAGTCTCCCTGGCCAACCCCTCTAGGGGTCCAGTCCTTGCCCACTACTCCACGGTTCTGCCGTGTCCAGCCGCCCCGTCTGGCTTGCTGTTAGGTCTCTACCTCCCCTCGTTCTCTACGAACCTGGTGAGTGGAGCTGACCTCCAAGATGGGGGGGTTGGCCAGTTCACTCCTGCGAGTCAGCGAGTGACTCACTGTACGTGTGCTCGGACGGGCCGACACCTGGCCACGTGTACCCGTGAGCCTGGCTCGAGCCTGTACACCCTGACCACTGAGTCTCGTCAGGTAGCTGCGTCTGCGTCTATGTCAGGTCAGCTGTCGGCCCCGTGCTCGTGTCATGCCTTGTCGTCCGTCGTCCTTCCTCTCCTCCGCAGCGTGTTCCCCTGCCTTCCCCTCCTGCGTCTTCTGTGCGTACCGTCCCTGAGCCTGAGTCTGACCACACCCGTGCTGCTCACTCTACTGTCATGCGTCTGCTAGCCACTGTTGTCACTGACCCGTCGTTTGAGTCTGCAGCTGCGTCTGCCTTGGTCGCTGAGCTGGTTGACTTTGCTGTTGCCTGTCGTCTAGACTACGCCGCTAGTCTTGTTGCTGAGTCTGAGTCTGTCTGTCCTCCGTCCGTCGGAGGTGAGTGTGCTCTTGGCACGGACGTCCTTGAGGACAAGCACGAGGACCTTGAGTGTCTTGTAGCCGCTGCACCTCATCTCGTGTCCATGCTGCTTGCCCCTGAGGGAGACCCGGATGCTCCAGACATCCCGACCCCGCGCTCTTACGCTGAGGCGATCGCGGGTGAGTACTCCTCTCAGTGGCAGACAGCCATGGATGCAGAGATGGCATCCTGGAAGTCCACACGCACCTACGTTGACAAGGTTCCCCCTCCCGGGGCGAACATCGTCAGTGGCATGTGGATTTTCAGGGTGAAGCGGCCGCCAGGTTCCCCGCCTGTCTTCAAGGCTCGTTACGTTGCTCGAGGCTTCAGTCAGCGAGAGGGAGTTGACTTCTTTCAGACCTTCTCCCCCACCCCGAAAATGACCACTCTTCGGGTGCTGCTGCACGTTGCTGCTCAGCGTGACTGCGAGCTTCACTCTCTTGACTTCAGCACAGCTTTCTTGCAGGGCAGCCTGGACGAGGAGATCTGGTTGCGCCGCCCGCCTGGCTTCACTGGGTCGTTCCCTTCTGGTACCCAGTGGAGTCTCCGGCGGCCGGTCTACGGTCTCCGCCAGGCGCCGCGTGAGTGGCACGACATACTGAGGACGACACTAGCGGCTCTTGGGTTTGCTCCGTCGACTGCTGACCCGTCGCTGTTTCTTCGCAGCCACCGTTCTACATCCTCGTGTACGTTGACGACTTGGTCTTTGCCACTACTGATACTGAGGCTCTGGCCCGGGTGAAGTCGGAGCTGCAGAAGAGACACACGTGCACAGACCTGGGTGAGCTGCGCAGTTACCTTGGCTTGCCGATCACCCGGGACAGAGCACGCCGCACCATCACACTGACTCAGTCACACATGGTGCAGCAGGTCCTTCAGCGCTTCGGCTTCACCTGGTCCTCGGCACAGGCCACTCCTCTGGCTACAGATCACTCGCTCTCAGCTCCACCTTCGGACGAGTCCATAGAGCTGAGTGGTCCTTACCCAAAGCTAGTTGGCTGCCTCATGTACCTGATGACCTGCACTCGTCCTGACCTCGCGTACCCTCTTGGCCTTCTGGCTCGCTACGTGGCTCCTAGTCGGCACCAAAAGGTGCACATGGATGCTGCAAAGAGGGTACTGCGTTACTTGTGCAGTACATCAGGCATGGGGCTCGTGCTTGGAGGGCGGAGCTCAGTTGTCCTCTCTGGTCACCCGGACGCTTCTTGGGTTGACGACCAGGCTACTCAGCGGTCGTCACAGGGTTACACCTTCAGCCTTGGCTCTGGTCAGTTTCTTGGCGTTCTATACGCTCGTCTTCTGTTCTCGGCTCTAGTTGTGAGGCTGAGATCTACGCCACAGCCATGGCTGTACAGGAGTTACGCTAGCTCACCTACCTGCTGACCGACCTGGGAGAGTGGCCTCGTTCTCCTCCAGTGTTGTACGTCGACAACAAGGCCGCCATTGCCTTGTGTCAGGAGCACAGACTCGAGCACAGAACGAAGCACATCGCTCTGCATTACTTCCTCGCTCGAGAGTTGCAGCAGCGTGGTCAGCTTCGTCTTGCGTACATGGCCACTCGGGCCAACACTGTTGATATATTCACCAAGGCACTTCCGCCTGGTGATCATCAGCGCTTTTGTACCTTGCTGGGCCTTGTGCTCACGTTTCCTCACTTGCTGTAGACTCTGCTTGTACTGTGATCTATATATATATACCTGCTAGCTTGTTCTGCTAGGTAGAGATCACTGTACTCCTATTGTTGCATATATATCTCTGCATGCGAATTGGCCTTGTGGCCCTTTGCTTGTGCTCAGAGTGTGTGGTGACGTTGTGATCCACCCTGAGCTTGCTTTGCCTCTCTTGACTGGTCTTGTGACCCCTTGCTTTCCCCCACTTTGCCTATGGGGGTGTGTCAGATTATGTATGCTATATATGTTTAGGCTATAGTGGGGTAGCCAATATGGGGTGCAACCCCTACTAGGGTTTGATATTTGTACCCAACTCTTGCATAGTTCATTTCATTCCTGCCTATACTTCTGATAGTATGTTTCTACCCCTCTGCTCCCTTTTCCCCCCGCTCTTCAAGTACCATATGCGGACGACTCGGATGACTAGTATGAGAGATCCCAATTGCCCTTTGCTTATTCCTGCTGCCTCCTTCCCATGCTTCAACAGGTTGAAAGACATGTTCTGTACCAAACCTGGCAGCTGTATCTGGTTTGTTATCACGTGCCGTGACCTTCTTTTAGGTGGGTGAGTGGTTGTGTTATGTTGTTTGATTGCTGTGGGGGTGAGGGAGTGGAGGACTGTGAGGTGCAGCTAGAGGTGTATTTCACCCAGAGCAAGGGGGTGAGGACCCTGGCTAGGCACCAGTGAGGTTGAGGTGACTTTTGAGTCGACTCAATACTCACCTTTTCACCCACAGCAAGGGGGTGAGGACACTAGGCACCAGTGAGGTCGAGGTGACTTTTGAGTCGACTCAATACTCACCTTTTCACCCACAGCAAGGGGGTGAGGACCCTAGGCTCCAGTGAGGTTGAGGGGTTGAGGAGGTGGACTGACTTTTGGACGACCAGTGGGGGGTTGCTATGCGAGTGAACACACGCAGCAGCATGAGAGCACTCATGACATAACGTGCTTTGACACCTATCCCTTGACTGTCTCCTCCCTTGACTGCCTCCTCCCTTGACTGCCTCCTCCTCTCCCGTTCCCCCCAATCCCAGCTCCACGAGTAATATGTGAACATGCACTCGTGGAGCAGGGTGAAATAGCCCATAAGGATGACACGGATGACTATGTGAACATGCACTCGTGGAGCAGGGTGAAATAGCCCATGTGGATGACACGGATGACTATGTGAACATGCACTCGTGGAGCAGGGTGAAATAGCCCATGTGGATGACACGGATGACTGTGTGAACACCCAGCAGAACAAGAACACTATGTGCTCTGTGTGTAACCTCTTTGCCCTCCTCAGATCCCTTTCCCCCCCCCCTCCTCCTTTGCAGCTCCACGAGTATGTGGACGATACAGAGGACTATGTGAACATGCAGCTGGATGAGAGGGCACTCTGTATGCCTTCATGATCTCTTATCGCTTCTTCAATCTCTCCCCCCACACCTCTTCACCTCAGCTCCATGAGTATGTGGACGACACAGAGAACAATGTGAACACACAGTTGGAGCTCTCACAAAGTAAATAAGGGAACAGCAGAGGACTATGTGACCTCTCTTGTGCCCTCTATCTCCCCTCCCCTCTCTCTCAGCTCCACGAGTATGTGGACGACACGGAGGACTATGTGAACGCACAGCTGGACTACCGCAGGAACCAGCTGCAGGGGACCGCAAGTGCGTGGTGCTGATGACGTGGCAAGTGTGATGACGTGGCAGCTCAACCTGGAAAAAAACTGGTGAGTTTTTTTTTTTTTTTTTTTTGGACGAGGGGCGGGGGGGAGGGGGAACTAGAGCATGTGTTATGTAACTCTGATTTCTAGCAATATTGCATCATGTTTTGAGGTCTCGTGTTGCATCGTGTTGTCATCCTTCTGCAGTTTCATTAATTTACCTTCCATCCCCCATTTCCCCGTCCCCTTCTCGTTCTCTTTCTTCCCCAGCTGCACCCTGGTGCCGCACCCGGGCTGCAACACACCCTCCCACTCCCCTGTATTCTTCTCTCCGATGGCCCCTCCCAACCCTCCACCTATCCCTCCACCAGGTGCTGATAACAGCAACGGGGACGGTGCTTTCGATGCTCATTGTCATCATTGCTGCCTTCTTAATGAACCTCCCCAACTTCCTCTTTGACACTCTGATCCAATGGCCACTTCCTCACCGTGCTGCTGCTGCCTCTCCTTGCTGCCCCCCTCCTCCCCCTCCATCCGCTCATCCCAGGTGCTGATAACAGCAATCAACCAATGAACTGCACGTGCTTATCAAGACATTGCTCAGTTCGTCCTTAAGAAATTAAGATGGTTCCAGCGCGATTTCCAAGGTCGAAAAACAGGAGATCAAAAGTCGAAGCTTCCGACGCTGTGAACCTCCCTTCGCTACAAGAGGCTTCTTTATATTTGGAAGATACTGACGAAATCGTCAGAACGTTTTGGCGCTATGAACTAGGGCGAGCTGCTAGAGATGTTTTTTCTCTGAAGGTGTTTTGCTCTCTGCTGCTCCCACCACACCACTCACACAATCGGCTCGAATGGCTGCAATGAGGGGAGGAAGCACTCATTCCCAAGGCCATGCCAGGCAGCAACTTCAAAGCAGGGCTATTTCTGCTATAACCCAACTCAACCAATCTCGGCAATGCTGGGTCGGAGCCAACTGAGCAAGGCTGAAGTGTCAAATCCGTCACCAAGGCCCCGTTCGGCAGCAACGAACCAGAGCTGTTTTTGTTGCAAACAAACCCCACCATACCAAACAAGGCAGGTTCGGAGGGAATTGTTCAAGGTTGAAGCGACACACCCAGCAGCTGGTTACAAAGGTGTCTATGGAGGTCCTGAAGTGTGCCAACAGGCAAAAAAGTGTCAACAATTTTCTACCTGATCTAAAGTGTGGCAACTCTGCAAAGAAAGCCCCAAACGGGCAAGACAAAGTGTTTAGGCACTTGAATTTCAAGACTATAGGAATCAGGGAGGGTACGGTAGACACTTACGCTACCTATGCCCTCTAGCTCCGGTTACGATCGACGGTGTTTTGCGTTGTACGTTGTATAATGCTATTTCACCTCAAAAAAAAAAAAAAAAACAGCAACGGGCACGGCGTTATCAATGCTTATTGTGATCATAGCAGCCTTCTCAATGAACCTCCCCAACTTCCTCTTTAAGACGGAAGGCCAGTTCCCCACCGTGCTGATGCCCCTGCTTGGCTCTGGTGCTGCTCTTTTGGGTGGTTTCGTGTACTACACCTGGTATTTCCAAATAATCACCTGAAATAAGATTTGTAGCAGAACTAGGAACAGTTCCCCCTTTTTTTTTTTATGTGCCATAGTATTGAATGGATTGTTGTGTTTGAAAAGCCTTGTACGACATTTTTTTTTTTAACCTCAATTACCGTAATTACCCGGACATAACACCCACCAAAATGAAAGACCTCCTGGGTAGCTTGTGCGGGGTGGGTGTTATATGCGACCTCGTTTCTATTATACCCCCCTTTTGGGGTGATTTTTTTATAACACCCCCCTTTTCTCACAGATTCCTTATTATAGCTGTTAACGAGTAGGTGCAAGTATGGGAGGAAAGAGCGAGAATCTCTCCCTCGATGAAATTTCGCGGTACTTTCACTTATAACCTGCTGAGATTTCCCCCATTCTAGTGGAAAACATATCATGTCATGACTCATTTTATCAGTGTAAAACATGCCCAAAAATCTCATGGGACTGCAACTTCAGTCATATACGGTAAACGCCACTTTGAGAAGTCAAGATGCTTGTATTCATGAAATGGAATGAACCGCACTACCGTCATCACCCGGATATAAGATTGTTGAATGGAAGATTGGGGGTATCTTTAAAATAGGTGAAATTAATAAATGAGTGTTCCTGATCATAAGACACATGTAGGTGTGTAAGGGTTAGGGGTAATCTTTTAATCTTTTAGGTGTGTCAAATTATAATGTTGTGTAGGCTGTAATGGGGTAGCCTATATGGGGTACACTTTTCTAGGGTTGCATATTTGTACCACTTTCATTCCTTCGTGCAATCATTCTCGTTTCAGTTTTCTCATGGTATCGAGCAGGTTCCCTCGTGGGAACTGTGCCTAGGGCCCACCAAGTCGATTTTTTTTTTTCCTCCTGCCCTGAGCGCGCTCAGCCCGAGTCGCGCTCCCCTCTCTTTCCTCGTCGAGCCGCCCTAGCGGCCACGTCGAGCCGCCTTAGCGGCCCCTCATTCGAGCCGCCCTAGCGACCCTGTCGCCCTACCTACGGCCTCGGCCCCATCGCCCTACCTACGACCCCGGCCCCATCGCCCCAACTACGACCCTGGCCCCGCCGCCATACCTGCGGCCCCGGCCCTAGCCCCGTCGCCCTACCTGCGCCCCGGCCCTGGCCCCGTCGCCCTACCAGCGCCCCGACCCTAGCCCCGTCGCCCTACTTGCGCCCCGGCCCCGGCGCCCCATCTGCGACCCTAGCCCCGTCGCCCTACTTGCGGCCCCGGCCCTAGCCCCGTCGCCCTACTTGCGACCACGGCCCCGTCGCCCCACCTCCGACTCAGGCCCCGTCGCCCTACCTGCGCCCCGGCCCCGTCGCCCTACCTGCGTAACTGCCCCGTCGCCCTACCCTCGACCCGGCCCCGTCGCCCTACCTGTGCCCCGGCCCCGGCCCCGTCGCCCTACCTGCGTACCGGCCCCGTCGCCCTACCTTCGACCCGACCCCGTCGCCCTCCCTGCGCCCCGGCCCCGGCCCCGTCGCCCTACCTGCATACCAGCCCCGGCCCCGTCGCCCTACCTGCATACCGGCCCCGTTGCCCTCCTTCGACCCGGCCCCGTCACCCTACATAAGGCCACGCCCCGCCGCCATACCTGTGGCCCCGCCGCTCTACCAGCGGCCCCGCCACCCTACCTGCGGGCCCGCCAACCTACCTGCGGGCCCGCCAACCTACCAGCGGTCCTGCCGCCCTACGCAGCCTAGCCGCCCGCACCGCTACATAGCCCGAGCCGCCCGCTCCGCCCGAGCCGCCCGAGCCACCCGAGCCGCCCGAGCCGCCTGAGCCGCCCAAACCGCCCGAGCCGCCCGAGCCGCCTGATCAGCTGAGGAGCCGAGCTGCGGGTGTCACCGAGCCGCAGTTGCTGCCGAGCCGCCCGAGTCGCCCGAGCCGCCGTGTTGCCGAGCTGCTGTGTTGCCGAGCTGCCCGAACCGCCCTGTCTTGTGAGAGCAGCGTCTCTGTGACTGCACTGCCCCTGCCCTACAGTTAGCGCTGCTAATCTACTGCAGTCATGGCTACCCCTAGTGTTCTCGCTTTTGACGCTAAGGGTCGGGCCATTGACTTTGACGTCTGGGTAGATGACCTGCAGTCTTTCCTACAGTGCGATAGGGCAGACAGTCTCTCCCTCTTTGACATCACCTCTGGTGCCTCCCCTGCCCCTGCTGCCGATGCTGACGCCACTGTTCGCTCACAGTGGGCCACTCGCGATGCTGCTGCACGTCTAGCTGTGCGTCGCCGCCTGCCTACCACTGAGCGCGCGCACTTTAGTCAGTACAAGAGTGCTCAGACCTTGTACGACGCTGTAGTTGCGCGCTACTCTTCCCCTGCCACTGCTGCACTGAGCCGCCTCATGCTACCGTACCTCTTCCCTGACCTTGCTGCCTTTCCCACAGTCGCTAACCTCATTACGCACCTCCGCACTAGTGACACTCGCTACCGCGCTGCGCTTCCTGCTGAATTCTGCGCAAAGAACCCCCCCCTCATGTACATCACTCTCTATTATATAGTCACCCGCCTCCCTGACTCCCTTCATGTAGTCAGAGACAACTTCCTCTCAGTCTGTCCCACCACTCTCACCGTTGACCTCCTAGAGAAGGCCCTCCTAGCAGCGGAGAAGAGCATAGTCGCTGTAGGAGCCTCTCGTGGTGACCCTCGCACCCCCATCTTTGAGGGGTGTTCCCCTTCCCCCCTTTTGCCCTCTGTCGCCTCTGCTGCTGCGGCTGACCTCGTTGGTCTTGAGTCGGTCGGTGCGGCGTCTGCCCCTAGTGGGAGACGCCGCTCTGGCAAGGGCAAGGGGGGCAAGGGCGCGGGAGGAGCTAGCGGGGGTGGTGGAGGTGGCGGTGGAGGCGGCGGAGGGAGTGGGGGTGGTGGTGGGAGTGGTGGCGGGGGTGGGGGTGTCGGTGGCGGCGGTGGAGGCGGAGGCAGCGGAGGCGGTAGCGGTGGGAGCGGAGGCGGCGGTGGTGGTGGAGGTGGAAGAAGCGGTGGTGGAGGAGGTGGAGCTGGTCGGGGTGGCGCTAGCGGAGCGGCTCCGGTGGTGGTCAGCGCCAGCAGCAGCAGCCGCGTTCTCGGGACATCCCCCCCCCTCAGCAGCTCCGTGAGTGGTACGCTGCACGTCAGCGAGGTGGGGGTACTGGTCCGTGCACCTACGTCCTACGCACCGGAGACCGCGCGGGTGAGCAGTGTGGGGGTGCCCACCCCACCCAGCGCTGCTTTGGCCGCCTGACGGAGGCCACTGAGATCCCCCGCTGGGGAGAGCTGTCTAGGGCGGGTGTAGCTATCTTTGATCTTGACTTTGATGCTATTCTTGCTGCCATGTATGCTGTGACTATAAGTGATGAGGGTGACTGTTACCGGTGTTTCCCGCCCGACCCAGGCATTGAGACTGCTTCTCTAGGTACTGGTGAGGCTGCTGCTCTAGGTGCCAGTGAGGCTGTTGCTCTAGGTGCCAGTGCGTCTGCGTCTTCTGGTGCTGGTGAGTCTGCGCTCTCAGGTACCGCGTCCGCTTCGGCCTCCCTCACCTTCACACTTGACTCAGGGGCTTCTCGCTCCTTCTTTCGAGACCGCACCACACTCACGCCGCTTGGTCGGCCGGTTGCAGTCTCCCTGGCAGACCCCTTTGGGGACCCTTTCCTCTCTCACTTCTCCACTGTCCTCCCGTGTCCGGCTGCCCCCTCTGGCACCTTGTCTGGTCCTTACCTCCCCTCGTTCTCTACGAACTTGGTGAGTGGTGCTGACCTACAGGATGCGGGGGTTGACCAGTTTACTCCTGCGAGTCAGCGGGTGACCCACTGCACGGACGCTCGCACAGGCCGGCACCTGGCCACGTTTACATGTCGGCCGGGGTCGAGCCTCTACACCCTGACCACTGAGTCTCCTCCTGTCCCTGCGTCTGGTCAGGTAGCTGCGTCGGGTCAGGTGTTTGCTGCAGCGTCCAGGTCTGGTCCTGAGTCTGCCCCCTGCTCGTGTCGCCTCCTGTCTCACGA